GAAATGAACACTACATAGCATCTGTTTGGCCCCATTACAATTTGGTAATTATCTCAGATTTTGCACCTAAGCTGTGAATTTCAATAGCTATAGGGATTTCCTCTTCTTTTGACCCAGTAACTGGTGTGGTATGATAGCTTTGATGTGGAAAAAAATAAGTGATAATTCTCAAGAGGCTGTTGAGAGGTTGATTTCCAAAATAGAGATTGATTACAATTCAGGCATCTGACTGTAATTTAAAGGTGGAAAACAGAGTCAATGAAGCTGATATAATGGTTTTCTTCACAAGTACCAATGCAATTAACCACTCATTTTAAATGAAAAGGTACAGAAACTTTGGACCTGTTTCTATGGCCTTCATCACAAAAGAGAGACCAGTAGGGCAAACCATAGAAAACTTCATTTTTGTGAATGATGGTACTGTATATTTTTAGTAACACTACCTCTAGGGAAAATAAATCATTTAGTAGATTCAGGCACTGCATTATCACATGCCTCTGCTTAAATCTGGCTTTTAAGTTAGAACACTAAGTAGTGTGTTTACATGGGATATTGAGAGCTATCAAGGATATTTGCTTTTATAATTTTGCTAAACAGAAGTTCAGATTTTAGAGTTCAATCATATGACTATTAAAGTCACTTATTAAATACAAAGATATATTCTTCTAGTAAGCTTACTTATCACCTGGGATGCTAACTATCACATTTTAGTCCATTGGATCTAGGAGCAGTTCAGAAAGTTACATTTTTTTAAAGGATCCTAGGTAGGTAGATTTTAATCTATTATATACTGACTCAGGTAGGTAGATTTTAATCTATGATATACTGACACAAAAAATAGATATGTTGGCCAGTGGCATAAAACTGAGGACAGAAATAGCACTGTACACTTTTAACTATCACCCCTTTTGACAAAGGAGTAAAAATATATGCTGAAGAAAAGATAGACCTTTTAAGATGGTGCTAGAGAACTAGTTACCCGCATGCAGAAGAATGAATCTAGACTCATAGCTTTTACTCTGTACTAAAATCAAATCAAAGTAGTAATTAGTATTAGATATTAAAAACAGAAGTACTGAATCTTCTAGAAGATAGCACTGGCAATATTCTTTTTTTTTTTTTTTTTTTTTTTTCAGAACCAGGGATCAAACTCAGGCCTTTGTGCTTGCCAAGGAAGCGCTTATTCCACTGAGCCATCTCCCCGGCCCCTAGCACTGGCAATATTCTTGAAGAAATAAGTATCAGCAAGGACTTTCTGAACAGAATAAGAAATTGTACAAGAAATTACATCAAGAAGCAACAAATGGTCTTATATAAAATTACAAAGCCTCTGTACATCAGAGAAAACAACCAGAAGAATGAAGATACAATCTACAGAATGGGAAAAAAATGCCAGCTAGTTCTCAGGTCAAGACTAATATCTAGAATGTATTTAAAAAGTTTTTAAAAAATGCCCCCAATAATAATAATAGGGCTGGGGAGATGCTCAGTAGAATAAGCGCTTGCCAGGCAAGTGCAAGGGCCTGAGTTCAATCCCTGGTTCCGCAAAAAACAAATAAATAAAATAATAATAATAATAATAATAATAATAATAAAAATAATAAATTAGACCTCTGGTAATTACCCAATCAAAAATGGGCAATTTAAATGAGTAGACACTTTGCAGAACATGTAAAAATGACTGATCAATACAAGAAAATGTGTTCAAGATATTTTTCCAGGGGTCGGGGAGATGGCTCAGTGGAATAAGTGCTTCCCTGGCAAGCGCAAAGGCCTGAGTTCAATCCCCGGTTCTGCCAAAAATAAAAAAAGATATTTTTCCACTAGACAAATGTAAATCAAAACAACCTAATCCAGAAAGTATGATTATCATCAAGGACTCAGAGAAAAACAAATGCTGGTGAGGCTGTGGGAGGAAAAAAGGAACCTTTCTAGCTAGGTGGGAATGAAAACTAGTATAATGACTATGAAATCAGGATGTAGATTCTTCAAAAGTTAAAAATAAAAATTCCATTTGATTCACCTATGACATCACATGACAGTAGTACATGCATGCCTATGTTCATAGCAGTACAACTCATAATAGCTAAACTTTGGAAATAGTCTAAATGTCCATCAATACGTGAATGGATAAAGAAAATGTGATATAAACACAATTTAGTAATGCTTAATCATAACGAAGAATAAATTATAGTCATTTGTAGGAAAACAAACGACCTTGAGACAACAATTCTAAGTAAAATCACACACAGAGGATTAACTATCACATGGTCCCTTTTATATGATAAACCCACTATATAATAATTGAAAGAAAAAGTAGAGATAGTAAGAAACAGAGAGATAAACTTTGTGGAGATGAAAAGATAGCCCTTTCATAGAAACAAAAGGGGCTGGGGATATAGCTGATTTTATCAAAGTAGCTTTGTAGTATAATTAGATATCACAAGCCAGGAATTGTGATATCAATTGCTTTTCCATGTTGTCCAGGATTGCTTTTGTCTAGGTCTTTTCTGGTGTCAGATGAATTTTAAAAATGTTTTCACTTGATCTGTGAAGTATACTAATGGCTTTGGGACTTCATTGAATCGGTATAACAATTTTGAGAGTATGGCCATTTTTATAATGTTGGTTGTTCCTATCCAGGAGCATGGAATATCTTTCCATTATGTTAAATCCTCTGGAATCTCTCTTTTTTTTTTTTTGAGTACTGTAAGTTTCAGTGTATAGATCCTTTACTTTCTTTGTTAGATTCACTCCCAATTACAGTTAGAAATTCCATAAAAATGTGCTGCTTTGAATGTTGCATATGTATTATTAAAACTCATCAGTAACTCAGAAATTATTAAGAATTTAGATCACAAAAGATTTTTGATGAAGGACACTACATCTTTGTTGCCTATATTCCAATACCCATTTTTAATAAACTATTGCTACTCTCCATTGGTAGTTCTGGTTCCTGGGACCCTACAACAACATGACAACATCAGAGTCCACTCTGATAAGCAGAATCTTCTAAAAGTTTTTCCTTACTTCACAAATATTACGGTTCCCTATCACAGACTAGGGTCTGTTCCACATGTAGTAACTTTGGGAGAAACGATCACTGATTTCCAGGACTTTAAATTTTGATGATGTGTACTGGCATTGTGAAAGCAAGAAATGCAGCACTCAATAGGACAAGGTCATAGACTTGTTTTATAGCTTCAGATGTCCTCTCTTACCTTGAAATCATCTTTCTCAGTGTCCTCACCCATGAACACTTTCTACCACTTTTCTCATAAGCTTTAAGTGTAGGGGTCTAGGTAGGGAAGAATTGTCTTCTTGGCAGGCACAGCCAGTAAGTGGAAGTCCCACACCAGTTTAGATCTATTTGTCCTTCTTATGGTCCTGTGATATTCACCTGCTCATCAGCTTGTAAAAGCCTCTGCTGGAAACAAAATGCTTCAGAGATTTGGGATTCAGGGTTGTGGCTTAGAATTGTAAGTGGCCTTCTTGATATTCTGCATCACTAGCTCAGGCTTACACAGCAAATATCTTTGCCCATTAAGAAAGAAAAGTCTAAGACAAAAGTGTGTGTAAGCAGTTCAGAGAGATAAAAGGCCCACAGTGGAAAGAGTGGGAAGGTTAGTGTAGGTTAGGTCAAGGCCTCAACAAACCTCTGTCTCTTCCTAGTTGAACATATAGCTCACCCCAGCTCCACTTGATTTTTTTTCTTTCTTTAGCACTATCTAACAATTCCTAATTTAGAACTGGAAGTTACTAGAGAGGTGAGTCAGGTCAGGATGTGATAAGATCAGGAAGTTTCTTAATGCTTATGTGAATGACCCCTTGATTTGGCTTCTCAGAACTTCTCATCAGACTGCTGTGGCATTAGTACCCCTTGTTTCACCAAAGAAAAACCAACTAGTATCTTAGAACCAGTATGGGGGCTTTCAGAATCTTTTGACTATTTTCATAGTTTTTGTGCTAATGGTCATAGAGAGATAAGCTCACTCCCTTTCAGATCAATGTTATGGGTCTCTCGTCAAGTGAGTTTGTAATCCATTCCATCTTATTCCTTCATGGGCATGACAGAATCATTGGTCCATTTAAATAGGGTGAAATGGTTTTTAAATTAAAGATGAAGAAGAGGCAACTTATGTGAGCACTTATAACTAATTTTTTTTTGACACAGGGTCTTGCTATGCACTTCAGACTTGTAGTGATCCTCCTGTCTCAGCCTCCCTAGTGCTGGGATTACAGGTGTGTGCCATCACGCCTGGTTCCGGGGCCTGCATGGCATGTGGTACTGGGGATCGAACTCAGGACCTTACACTTGCTGGGCAGGCACTTATGCCACTGAGCTATCTCTCCAACCTCTATAACTAATTTTTGACACACATAAGAAAACTACTGGTGATGAAACATACTATTAAATATAATTAATAAAATTTTATATAATGACAGGACTCATTGTTATCTCAGTTTTCATTTATTTGCGTAGTCTTGTGTGTTTTGCTTAAAAACTTTTGAAGCCATGGGAACACTGGACTTGAGACCAATTCTTCGGGGGCCCTTTTCTGTTCTATAGAGAGTACTTGCCTGCCAGGGGGACATACATGCATGAATTTTCTCACCGGTGTCAAGGCTAATTATAGCTGTCTAGCAGTGCCAGGCTGGTAAGTGCAAGTTTCAAGATGACACAAAGTGGTTGACCCAAGGAACAGCCAGAAGTTTTCATTCAAGCTAATTATTGCTTGATGGGACAGAGGAGAGGAAGGACAGAGAAATGCCAGTTGTTGCTCAGATGATATGGCTCAGGAAGCCCTTGTGATCCCTGGGAACCTTGCATTGGTCTCTGCACTGTTTGTGTATCTCCAGTGTGTGCAGTGAGTTGCTTGCAGGGAATGGTCCTGTGGAGAGAGAGGGCCTGGCAACTACTGGTCTCCTGTCCCCTTCCACTGTTCTTTGGGTTTCTCTGGGAAGTTAAATTCAAAAGAAGGGTTTTTTTTTTTTGAAAGTTTCAAAAGTCACTTTATTCTACAGATATTGTTTTTAAATTTTTTCACATTATTCTTGCTAATAAAATTTATGTGAAATACAGATTATTTCTAAGTTTGTGATTTGTCTTAGGAGCTTTAATTTTATTCATTATCATTCAGCAGATATGCTCGAAGCACCCACTAGATGCTAGGTATCTATGTGCAAACTGCCTACTTCAGAGGACTCGAAGTCTCACTTCCTGAGGCTCAACCCTTTGCACTTTTGGCCCTGGGATGAACTCCGGAGTCACGTCCCACTGACAGATGTTTTCTTGTCATGGCTGAAGACTTCTGGGGAATGGTCCTTTGTGGAGCTACCTTGGCCAAGGCTCTTTGAGTTGAATCTCCAAGCACAGCAGCGCGAGACAGGGCCTCTTGGTGAGTGAGATAGCCTGGGGAAAGCAGTGAGAGAAGCTTCATTCTCAACAATTATACAAAACAAGCAAAACTGCAAGTGCTTGCCTATAGGTACTAGGGTTCTATTTTTGTGGTTAGCATATCCTAATCATACACTTTGAGAACAGGGAGTACATATTCTTTCTTTTGCATTTCTCATTCTGTAAGTTAATAATCACAGATGAACATGTCAAATCATTTGAAAGGGACTTAAGCTATGAAAAATATTTATATAAACAACTTAATCTTTAATGTCAAAACTTTCTTTAATTCAGGAAAAGATATTTGATCTCTTCCAGTGCTCCTGCAGACTATCTACGAAAGTGCAGTCTAGAAGTGCAGTCTGTAGACTGTCTACTAAACTGTCACCTGGATGAAGCTACACGCCTTTCCAAACTGTCTACTAAAATGTAGATTTCTACTTAAGAAACCTTCTGAATTTGAAACAGCGGGTTAGGCCGATACAGTGGGTCATTTTAACAAGATGGCAAGTGAATTTTATATGCACTAATATTGAATACTTCTGTTTCTTTTCAATTTTATGCCGAAAGCAAAGATGTTTCTATAACACTTAAGACACTCATGAGGACCAGACTGAATCCTGGTTCCTCCAAGCAGGAGCTGTTCAACACAGATCAGGTTATTTAACTTATGTATCAGTTTTCTCTTTGTGCAGTGTAGACAAATAAAGACAGCCAGCACTCAGTGTTTGAATTTTAAATAAGACAATGTGTGTTAAATTCCTAGAATAGTACCTGCCACTTAGGATACTTCAGATATTGCTACTGTTATTTTTAATAAAGAAGCTGCAGACACTGTGTTTTCCCATTCATGTAAGTACAAGACAACACTATAAGGTAGATGTGCTAATATGAAATGAGTGTATTTTTTTAAATAATTAAGAGTCGTTAGTAGCTGGCCACAGAAAACATGTGCCATAACAACTACAGTGCCTCTTGGTAGTACTCAAGTATAGTTCTTCCACAATCAAGATTTCATCTGTCCTTCATAAAATCAGAAGGGGACAGAAGAGGGAGAGACAGTGGAGCATGTGGAGGACAGAGGCCATGATCTTGGAGGTGACAGCTCTGATGTGGAGTCTTCATTGCCATTCTCTTTGTGTGGTATCTTGCCCAGGTTTCATCACCTACCTGAGCTTCTATTTGTGACAGTTATGAAATGGTAAAAAAAAATAACTGACATTATATGTAAAGCTCTTAGCATGATGCCTAAAGCTTGATAGGTGTTGAACATCCATAACTATTATTGTTGTGAGAAAATCAAGCCTCAGAGTTGTGGAAACAGCAAGGAGTAGAGCCAAGGATTAAGCCTAGACTGGCTTCATAGTTCCAATATCATTGATCTATGAGATCAAGCTCCTGCAAATGTCAAAGAGTTATTACACATTTTATAACAATCCATACTCCAAATTCTTTAAACCCTCTTAATTTATCCATAAAAATCTTGCTCTCTGTTGTCAGAGGTAATCATTGTTAAACTTGGCTAGCCAACCATGTTGATAAAATAAATTGGCAGGGGCCATTCCACTTGAATTATTTATCTGAAAATGTCAGTTGTGGATGAAGCACATGAGTTCCTTCCTGAGGTGCCAGGCTCAGGTCAGGTTGTTAAACTTACCCAACCGCTGCTGTTGCTGAAGGCTGTGAATATAGCGAGTCTGCAGAGCCTCCCACTGGGGCCTGGAATCATAAATCCTCATGATGCTATAAAAGTAGCACTGTTGCCCTGGGGTTAGGTCCTGCGAAACAAAGCAGGTAATTTTGATGAGTCTCTACAGGATTGAAAGTGTGATGTTTTCAAAGCTAACTTCCACAGAAAAAGATGCCTTTCTTTCTAAGCATATGTGTTTTAATATACAAGAATTGGAATAGAATAATCAGGTCATTGTCCACCTTCATTTTCTTAAACAATGTTCTACTAGTCGGTATGAGGATAAAAACGGGTAAGAAAAATGTTCTTGATAAGTAGGTCATGGTATTGGATCGAATGGAGACTAAGGTTTTCTGAGATCTTAGATCTTGTTGATCCTTCCTGAGGAAAGTAGGCTGTGAGAATACACACATGGCCTGAAGTATGCTAGACCTCAGCATGGGTGAAACTAGCAATGGAAATTTCCAGTAAGCAAGGGAGACAGTGATGAATAGATGGGTAGTGTAGTAAGAAGTACACTTTCCTCGAAAACAGGACTCTGAAAAGAGAGCGAATTGCCTATGATAGTCAAGGCAGACTTCCTAAATGAGATAGCCCACACCTGAGTTTTAAGAGAAAAGAAGAGTCCCTGAAGGCCTAGAATACAGCTTCTGAAATTGGGTAGACAATACCAGGGCATCTATTAGAAATGTGAATTCTTGGGGTTGGAGTGGTAGAGATTTGCCTAGGACGTACAAAAGCCTGGGTTTCATCCAAGCAGTAACACACACACGCACACAAACACACACACACACACACACACACACACACACACACACAATCCTCAGCTGAAACAAAGACCCTGGGGCAGCAGTGTGGGTCTAGTACTGTTTTCACACTTTCTAGGTGATTCTCATACATATTCACTAAAATTTGATAAATACAGGACTAGAAGAAAACATATAATCTAGTTATATACAGAAGTGAAAAGTACAAATTCTCTTATGGGGCGTGAAGTATCTGAATATATAAAGAATTAGAGAATGGGACATTTTTTTAGTTCAAAGGAAACAGAATCTGAATTCAAAAAGGCTGTAAAATTAGGCTGAAGAAAATGGGAACATTTTATGCTGAGTATAAAGATTAACTTCTACTTAAAGAGCTGCTAAAGTTCAAAGCAGAGATTCTTAACAGGAACGAGTTTGACCCCTAGTAGACATTTAGAGAAATTTTTGATTATTCCATTTGGTACACAGATGCTCCTCTCATCGGTTAGCAGAAGCCAGGGCGGCTGCTCAGCATCCTGCAGTGCACAAGCAAGCTTCTCGCTCCTTTGCCAAAAGTATTCAAACCAATATGCCATACTTTAAACTTCTCAGAACTTTCATTTTTAAAAGATCACATTGGCCTTGCCGTAGACGATGGGTTTGAGAGAACATAGACGACAGGTAGCGAGATCATCCCAAAAGCTACTGTGATAGAGGTAGGGATGAAAAAGAAGACTTCAATTACTATTATGTACCTGATATATCTTTAAGTGCTGTAATTTTGCTTACAGCATTTCTTAAGTTATAATAATCCCATGAGATGGATAATTTATTGTGCTCATTCTACAGAGAGGGTAACTGCTGGCAAATTCAACATCTAGAAAAATGAAGGTAAAATAAGTTTTCCCTAGGTGAACAAAATTCAAAGCAATGATGATTTTTTCAAACCTCACCAATAACATGAAATACAAACAGACAAATGGAAAGTAAAGATCACACACACACACACACACACACACACACACACACACAGTTTTATCAGTTACAGAGTTTTTAGGGGACTGAAATCTGTGAGGCACATTGTTTTGAGGTCTAGAGACCTTAAACTTGATACTGAAAATATACACAGAATAAAGCCAAGCATCTCATAACTTAAAAAATCATTTCGGTCTTACAATTTCTGAGTTAGACATTCTAAAGAATAACATATTTGAAGAAGAAAATGGATCTCATAACTAGTTAAACATCTCAAATGATTGAGAATAGGACAATATAAAGATTGCAAATGAATTTAGGAGGAAACTGTCGAAGTACAATGGGAATTTCCAATATACAAGATAAATCGTAAAAGTTAAGGTTTTCTTTTACATAGAAAAAATGCCTGGTTCTTTTCTTTAATAAATTTTTAAATGTATCCAGTGAGAAATAATAGGTACCATTCATAATATCCTTACCTTGTTGCCTGTATGTACTTAAGAGATTGGAAGAGATTCCCTTTCATTTGCTATGAGTTAACAGAATGACTGTAATTAGCTCAGAGCAAAGGAGCTCATTGCTCTCCCCTAGGAAGTCAGTGTCATGTCCCACCATTCCTAGGGGGTCAGCCATGAAGAAGTGACATTTTACCAGAGCTTTTGCCAATGGACTGGTTTAGGATTACATCCTCCAGTGCCCTTTTTTTTTTTCTCTTGAATACCTTTGGAACCTACTTCCATTGAATCAAGTGTTTTCTCTAATGCTGGATAAACAGTAGAAAAAATAAAAGTCCTCAACCTTCCAAAGAGAGACAGAGGAGGTCCCTTTGTGAATAAAACATTCTGTACCTTCAATAATGAACAGTTAGAAACAGAGGGAGGGACTCGGATGCAAGGAATTTGTGGAACATTTTTAAGTTTTTGCTGTCTTTTCCAGTTTTCTCTCATTCTTTATTCTGTACCTAAAAGGAACAATAAAGAAGAGCACAGCATAATTTTGTTGAATTTGCAACATAGCAAAATTTCACTTTGTTCACCCAATACTGGGAGGCATCTAAGTAAACAGTAAGGAGTAAGTAAATAAACAAAATGTTACTTATTCCAAGGAACATGAACTTTCTTTTTACATCCTTCCAAGTAATTGGGACTCCCCAAACTACTTAGCTCTGCATCTTTTCCTATTCATACTCCTTTACTAAGGAAAGAATAACTCAGAGACCTCATTGTATTGCTTTATTGGGTTGAGACAGTTGGCTTATTATGCCCTAAAACGTCTATAACAGTTATTTCTTTACAACTTTAAATAATGTTATCATCTTATCTGATTATGAAAGCAGTACATATCATCTTTGGGACATTTATGAACATTTTTAAAATTGAAAAGAATGTAAGATTATCCATAGCTAATTACTGTTAATATTTGATTGGTATTTCTTTATTTATTTTTCTGTGTATATTGTGTTTGACCTTATAAAAAAAACTGGTCACTCCATCATCTACCATCTATATCTATCTATCTATTTATCCATCTATCTACCTAACTACCTATTTATGTTATGAACCTTGCTTGGTCATTAAATAGTCCTTAAAAGTGTGATTTGTGAGCAACACATTTTTTCCACCTTTAAATTGGCACTTTTATAACACTGTACTATAAAATAAGCGATTAGACTTAGTCATCTTTCTTTCCTGAAAAAGATACAGAGTGACACCTGCTATGACTAAGTCTCCCTTCCATGTGATATATAATAATAAAAGGTTAACAAGCTGAGAAGAATAGACACTGAAATGAGGTTACCAAGGCAAAGACTTGGAAACCCTAAAAGCACTTTCCCCTCTGCTCATTCCTTTGCCCTTACCAGCAGTACAGATTACAGAATATTAGGAAGTAAGAATACAGCAAATCAAAGATATGAACAGGTCCTCCAAACATATCACACTATGACCAAAACCAGAGGCTAGCTAAAGAGGAGAAAATATAAGAGGTTCTACGGCCTTTAAAACTGGACAGGAAATAGCTTCTTCCCTTCTGCAAGCCTCTGTCCTCTCAACTTCACAATGGTGGCTACAGGGTCAACATCACTGGCTATGTAATTAACTGAGACCAAAGATTTAAGATGCTTTCACTTCATGCCAGTTTCTTCTCACTTCAGCTTTTATAATAAATATTCGTGTGTGCACAAACAGGCACACATACACATTATATGTTTAAAAAGTATGTCAGTATGTGTGAAGATTCTGATTACTTCTGACTTCCCAGAGCAGAAACTCCCAGAACAGAACTCCCAGAACAGAAATTCATTACCGAAGCATCAATCAACATCTGTGCTTCTGTTTCCTTAACATAAACTTATACATCTATGTTTCATCTACTACCTCTTTTCGTTAATGGATACTCCAGAAACCACACCAATCAAGACAAAATATTTCCATATTCTCTGTGATTGAAATCTATGCATTCATATTATCTGAATCTCCTTCTTCCAATTTTCCACATCTGTAGAGCAAAGAATGAATCATTTAAAAAGCTGAAAAAGCTTCTTATATCCTTAAATAGTATAAAGAAATGACTAATGATCTTTCTTGTGTGAACGGTTCATGTGTACTTTTCTTGGTCTCTTCCTGAAGAAATCTATCTTATCTATTCAGGTGCTCTATATCTGAGAAAGTTGGATTAAAATGCTTGGAGAATTAAAGGAAAAAACCTATAACATAATAAACCTGAAACAGCAACAACAACAACAACAACAGATTTGCTTAAAAAGAACTTACCTGGTGCTGCTATTGTACCCTTTTTAAAAGCTAGTATCCACACTCTATGTAGTTTTTTTGCAAAGCTCTCTACCCATAAACTTGTGGTGGAAATTCAGTCTGTTGATAAACTGATATCCAAGCAACATTATGTGATGAAATAGAGAGCTGGAAAAACTTGGCTGCATGCCTCTCCCTTCATTTGGTGACATTCAGCTGCACAGTTTCACTTTTTTTTCTTCCAACTTCATGTCTAATCAAAGTTTAACTTCTAAATCTATTGTATCTGTATTATGTGCAGACACTGGGGATGAAAAAGCATGGAGATAGATGCCTAGGGTCAAAGGTCAATAAATTCATCATGGAAACAGGAGTATTTCCAAAACATGAAGTCAGTAACACCCATTCTCATTGCTCTGAATGATGAAGGAATAATTTCTAAATTTAGAGGTAAGCACCTAAATTTGACTGTGGCAACCTATAGAATTATCTCATAGTTCAAGTTCCTTTTTCATTTTGGAGATAAAGATATGATATGCTCCATATTTGATCTTGATTAGAAACTGTATATGAAGATCATGAATGTACAAGTTATTGTTCACTTTGATCTCATTTCTTCTTTTGTAGTAGCAATTATTATTACAGACTTCCTTTCTTTCTTGAGAATCTTTCTTCTTAATGTCAGTCATTTGCAAAGAGGAAGAATTCCTAGAGAAAAAAATGGGAGCAGAAATATCAAAAGAAGAACCATAAATTTAAGATTTAAAGGAAGCTGAGGGAAATTAAAAGTAGAGGTAAGAATTGTAAATCAGGTGCTTAAAGAAGAAAAAAGCTCAGACAACACAAAAGGTTTGCAGGGCCAGGACCATAGCTCAGTGGAACAAGTGCCTGTTTGGTAAGTGCAAGGTCCTGAGTTCAATTTTTGGTATCAAAAAATTTAAAAGGTTTACAATTTTTGTCAATAATTTGAATGCATATCATCTCGTTACTTCTCACTCACTGCAGGGATAAAATAACTGACAAGATTAAAAAAACAAAGGTTTGTTCAGTTCACAGTTTGTGGAGGTTTCAGTCCATACTTGGCTAGCTCAAAGGCAGGGTGGCACATGGCACAAGGCAACAGTTCATGCCTACTGAAAACAGCAAAACAGCAAGAGCAAAAAGGGAGGAGCAGCAGCAAAAGAGGCAGAGACCAAGTCCCCTCCCATTATACTGCATCTTGGTTATCTGCCCAAGGTGGGTGGAACACTCACACCCATAATTCCAGTGTTGTATCATGAATTAATCACAAACTTTAAAATCTACCCCACCACTACAGGAGGCTTTGGAAGAACAACTAGACAAGAACCATAAAAGATTTCCTAAGGAAAAACTATGAGAGTTTACAAATATCAGTGAATGCCACAAACCTCCCAATGGATCTGAGGTTGGTGGTTCTTTCCCAAGGAGTGAAGGATAGTTCTTTGCAAAGTTGACATTGTCAACTGGGTGTCCTTTGAATGTTTTTCCAGGATATGATCTTCCCTAGGGCATACCACATTGGTTGATATAGCACTTCTGCCCAATCAGGAAAATTGTGACATATCTAGGTATTTGATAAGGAGGTCATTTATTATAGGCAATCTGTTTCAGGTTAGTATTCTAAAGTACTATCATACATACATAGTGCTAAAAGAAAAAGAAACAGGGAGGGAGGCATAAAGGGAGGGAGGGAGGGAGAGAGAAAGAATGTAAAGTTTTGTTCAAAGTCCATGAATCTGCATTTACCAGGCACCTTTGTTTCTGTGTTCTTGGTACTATTGCTATCACCACTGTTGTTGTACCTGCTGCTGCTGTCGCTGAGATGTAAACAAGAGCCATGACAACAATGGCTCCTTCCCTCCAAGCTTCCATCTCCTTCCTCCTGTTGGATGCCAACTGGTTAGGGGTTCTGGAATATACACTGTACAGTTATCCTGCTACTGTAGCCAAAAGAAGTGTATATAAGGATAAACACAAAACTGAGATGACAGACACTGTATCCCAAATCTAATTATGATAGAGAGAGAACATAATGTTGACTACCAGTAGAAAGTCTTTGTTAACTCAGAACTTTCACAACTCAGATATCTCTGAAATAAGACAGTAATTGACCATTATAGCTGCTATTCAGAAAAAAAGAATGGACTCTGGGACAGGTTTCCAGAGTCCTTAGGAGCGAGGTTAGGTGGTAGTTGGAAAAATGTCTGCTGGATCTAAAGGAACACTATGTAATGAATATTTGAGGAAATTTTTTTAAAAAGTAGTTTACATCAAAGCTTTATTGTCTATAAACAAAACATCCAGGATTGCATGAACAAGGGAATGTCTCAGGATAGAGAGAAATCCATAGGAGAAAGAGTTGTAGCCTCTGGAGTAGTGGATTTGCATGCAAGGTAGATTGGCACCTGGAGGTCCTGATAAGATTTGTGTTGAAATTTTAGCATAAATTCAAGAATGTGATTTGGTTACTTATTTATTTATGACTTGTTGGTTATTACCAATTAACTTCTTCCATCTCTATCTATTTCTTTCCATCCTTTGGCTCTTTGTATGTAAAATTAAGGGATCTCAGGATTTTTCTGTAATCAGATGCATCACTTTCCATAGTTAAAACATAGTTACAGCAATGTGACACTATGCTAGAGATATTAGTGTGTCTTCATAGTGACCCTTAGAACCTGGATCACAAACTCTTTTCATAGAATAGCAGGGAAAATGGGACCTCATGAATAGTAACCAACTGAGGAGGAAGGACTCAAGATTAGAATTGAAGACAAGATTAAACTTTACTTTGTCAAAAATCTAGGTTTTTACAACAAGAAGCAGGGAGTCACTACATAGAAGAGATAAGTACTGCCAGTAGGACAAGGGGCCAAGGATCACTTCCTAAGAGGAAGTTATCTCCTGATGTCCTCCTTTCTCTGCTTCTTCTCCAGGATCCCCTCAGCTTTGCAAGTCTCTGTGAGGACCTTTACCAGATTCGTTCATCTTCTGGTTCAGAGGATCTCAGTGTACCACGATGAAGGGAGGGCAGGGCCTTTCCACACGCTGCTGTTGTATGATCACTTAAACTCTATGCAGAGCCTCATCTACTCCTTGTTGCACTCCTCTGCTTTCTCATTGGACTTCCTTCAGTTCCATCTTGTTTGACAATGGAGGGCAAGTTGATTAAACTTTTTTCTCTGCTCTTTCCAAAGAAAATTACTTTTCCGAAAGGTCAAACTGAAGGCTTTCACATATAAATTCTATAGAGATCACTGGCCCTCAAAATAAGGAAATTTATTTGGACTCTAAGTACTTTGGTGGACTGTAAAAACTACTTTTAGTGAGAGAAAACTACTTTAGACACAAAGTAGTCATTATCACAACAGAAAAGCCAAAATAGCTCTGTACATGCTAAGGAGTTCAGGAAAACAGATTTTAGAAAGTTCAGAAGAATTCTAAAATAAAATACACCTCAAGAAGGGACACATCTAGAAATTTAGTTTTGACACTATAATCTCAAATAAGTTAAAAGAAAGAAAGAGATACAACAGCAAAAGTAACTACAGTAGTTGTGCTGGGAACTATGAGACAACTCTAGACTTAAAGCCAGGTTGTAAATAATTACAATATTTACAAAATATATATTTTTTCATTAGGGATCAGCGATGCCTGTCCAAAAACAAATTCAGCAGTGTAGCTGCTAAGTGGTAGTGTCAGGACTCAAATCCCCTTGGTCTCTAGAGCTAAAGAGAAGTGTAGGCAGCACACACCCTGCTCTCATGGAAAATCACCCCTGCTACTCAGCCGTCACCTGCAGAGGAAATGCACTCACCTTGATGCTCTCCAGCCTTGAGGTGCCTTTTATTCCCACCTGGATTGGTGCTTGGCTGAGTAAGAGGAGGCTTCAGTTTTCGAAAGACTTAGGGTCATGCATCTATAACAGAACATCAGGCTTATTATGTTAAGTCACCGACCTTCTGATAAAGCTCCTGAGCAATCTTCTTGCAAAGAGGCACCCAGTGGCCAATCCT